ATTTGTAGTTAATTTAAATGTCTTTACGTGGTGCCACAAAGTAGAGTATTTCAGGCAAGCATTTATTTTGTCTGTTGGTGTCGATCGAGGGATTACAGGTAATGTTTGCCTGAAATCTCCTGCGAGCAATATTAATGCGTTCCCAAATGATCTGGAGTTTCTACCCAAAATCTTGCATTGATCGATCAAGAGCCTAGAACGATTTTATGTGGGGCATTGTGCATTCATCCCAAACAATAAGTTTGCATTTCTGCAATACTTTTCCCATGCCAGATGCATTAGAAATGTTGCACGTGGGAGTTTCAATTAATTGCATGTTCAATGGCGATTTCAAAGTCGAAGTAGCAGTTCTTCCATCTGGTAGCAATGTCGCAGCCATTCCGGACGAAGCAAGAGCTAAAGTTATGCCATTTTGGGATCGAAATGCTGCCAGATTCAATCTAATTAGGAAGGTTTTTACCAGTTCCTCTTGGCGCATTTAAGAAGATTTAGCCAAGCCCGATATGGACAGTTTGAATTATTTGATTGTTAATGTCTTTTCGCTCAAACGTTAGCCTAGGAATATTTGATCAAACATACGACAACAGATCCCCCGTGTTGTAATTTTGTTCACGAAGCAATTCTACATCGAACGAAGCAGAGGAAGATCGATTCGATGATGGTATTTCCAATTTCCATGAAATAAATGTGTTATCCATTTTCATGTTTTCAAAACAAAAACAAAAAATACTAATGAAATAGTTCAATTCAAACGCAGATCAAACGACACAGCTCAATTTCACCACCAATTACACTGAAAAGGAGTCCAACCTGAGCTGCCGTAGGGTGAGGGCGTGTTGTCTGACCGCTCCGGCAGTTTGGGGTGGTTGCCGTTTTCGCCGGCAGGGGGTGTGGGTGTCTCTACCCTCCCTGCTGTCCCTGACTGGTCTTGACGTGGCGCTTTTGTGATGAGCGATATATCTTCCCGCTGTCGTGAGGGTAAACTCCGTGGGGTTGGAGTTTACCTGCCGTGCAGGGTATCCTCTCGTAGAGCAGGTCATGTGTGACGTGCTACATGTCCCAGTCGTGGAGATCTACGGGGTTGAGCTGGTGACTGCTCGGTGGGTGATCATCAAGTTTGTGGGTGAGGAGGCGTACCGTGGCTTTCTCCGGCGGTACGAGGGCAGTACCTTGAATTTGTTGGATGGCACTGGTTCTGTGGCCATTTCTGATCGAAGTTGTGCCGTGACGTATGTTAGCGTCCATGGGGCCCCCATGGAATTCCCTGAGTCCCTTCTCTGGCGTTTCTTCCAGAGATTTGGCTCTGTCGTCAGTGTGAGGATGCACAAGCTATCTTCTGGAAAATATGCGGGAGTAAAGACAAACATTCGTACCCTCGGGATGCGCCTGAGGTCGGACATTCCATCCTCTGTCCGACTTTTAGGGTACTACGTGCGGGTGTATTATGCCCGGCAACCCTGTACTTGTTTCCAGTGTGGCATGTTGAAGCATCAGGCTGTCGGATGCATTGACGATCCTGTTGCTCTGGTCAACTTGTTCCGAGAAGAGGATTTCCCGCCGCTCCCTCTGGAGGTCTCCGGGGATGAGGTGAGCGTTCAGTTAACAGATGCGGCTCCCCATACCTCGCCAGACGTTCCTCCGGTTGTTGCAGACTCTCCTCCGGGTCTTGCAGTGCCGTCGGATGGTCTACGCGCTCCTGTCGCTGTCTCCGCTGCTCCTGAAGGCCTTCCTGGTGATCGCTGTGATGCGCCGCCGTCTTCTCCCTCGTTTTCGGCTGCTGCGCCTGGCCCTGTGTTCTCGCCTCAGGTCCCGGATGCGCTGAGTGCGCATCCGGGACCTTAGTTTCCTTAGAATATTTTCGGGTATGTCAAGAGGAGTACAGGCTGGATCTCGTACCCGTGGACGAGACAATCGGGATGATAGCCTACAGAGTGTATCGTGATCCAGCCTGTACTCCTCTTGACATACCCGAAAATATTCTAAGGAAACTACTCCAAGCTTGTACTAAAGAGGCACCCTTCTTGAGCCCGGATGGGCACATGTATAAGCAAGTAGATGGGGTCGCCATGGGTTCTCCCCTAGGTGTCCTGTTTGCAAACTTCTACATGGGTACCATCGAGCAAAAAGTCTTAGTCGACATGAACTTGAAACCGGCCATATACTGCAGGTATGTTGACGACATTTTTGTCATAGGTACCTGATGTCAGACATCTGCAGGAGCTGAAGGAGGCATTTGAGCAGAGTTCCGTGCTGCGTTTCACTTACGAGATGGAAAAGGATGGGAAGCTGCCCTTTCTAGATGTAACAGTCATGGAAAAGAGCGGAGGTTTCCACACTGCAGTCTACACTAAGGAAACGAACATAGGAATGTGCTCAAATGCCAACAGATACTGCCCAGACAGGTACAAGAGGAGTGTTGTTAACGCATATGTCGACCGTGCTCTAAGCCACAGCTCAGAATGGATGCAAGTCGACGAAGAACTCTGTAGGGTAAGGCAGGTCCTAGTCAACAACGGCTTCTCCAATGGTTTCGTCGAAGACATCATAAGAAGGAAAGTGAAACGCCATGCAACCTCTGAAGAGACAACTAACACAACACCTATACCCCCTATTAGACTATTTTACAGGAACTTCTTTTCCACAGCTCATAAAACAGAGGAAAGGGTCCTGAAAGATATTGTTAATAGAAACGTTATCCCTACAGACAAAAATCAGAGGATACAACTGACGATTTACTATAAAACCAGAAAAACGGCCAGCCTACTCATGAGAAACTCTCCAGACACAAAGCAGAACGCTTTAAAAGAGACCAACGTCGTCTATGCCTTCAAATGCCCACTTGGGGACTGTAAGCTCCAAAAAAGCAGTATATAGGCAAGACAACAACATCTCTTTCTAGGCGTTTAACGATGCATAAACAACAGGGCTCCATTAAGGAACATATAATCTCTTCCCACAACCAAACCATCGCCAGAGAAATCCTAGTAAACAACACAGAAATCATCGATAGATACAGCGATAGCAGGCGGCTTGACGTTTGCGAGGCACTACACATTAAGAAGTCAACACCAGCAATCAACAGCCAATTAATGCACAACTATATTCTACCCACCTCAAGACTCCGCTCCAATATAGAAGCATCAAGAAATATGGACCAATAGGCTTTCTACAATCACTTCCATTTCAATACCCATTGTTTCGTGTTCTGTCTTGTGTTGATGAAATTAATACCCTATTAATGCCACCTCTTGTTCTGTCTTGTGTTGATGAAATTAATACCCTATTAATGCCACCTCACCCCATCCACCTCACTCAAATGTAGATATAAACGAAATCGGAGATGCGTAAGTTCTATTCAGTTGTGTATTTGTAAACTAAAGTCTTTGAAAATGTAATAAGTTTTACGAAACGCGCTCGTGTCGCGTCAGACTAGAAATAAAAATGAATTTTGGAGAATTGATTTTGAATTACCTCCAACAGTGAAAAGAAATGTACGAAAGATTGAGAAAATTCGTGTTAGAATTATTAATCTTACTTTTTCGGTCATATTTAATAATATATATATATATATATATATATATATATATATATATATATATATATATATATATATATATATATATATATATATATATATATATATATATATATATATATATATATATATATATATATATATATATATATATATATATATATATATATATATATATATATATATATATATATATATATATATATATATATATATATATACATACATAAACCCGCTCGGTTGCGAATGGAACGTTGTGTGAAAATTTCAAAGCAATCGGTGAAGAACTTTTGGAGATTAGCGATTTTGAACAAACGAACATTTTCATTTTTATTTATATAGATGGGCAAGAGGAATGAGTTTACAGAACAAAATATAGTTATAAGTTATGTTAAATTATAGAGGTGAATGACACTGTAACTATAGATGTACTTATTTAGTTGTTAAAGATTCCTCGTTGGGTTAGCTTGTCTTACAAAAGTCCTCAAATATGGCTTTTATGTAGTAATGTCAAATTTCTCATCTAAGTGTTTGTATTTGTAGTAGAGCTGGCGGCACAGCTTGTGTGGCTATATCTCTCACATTCCCGTTGATACTTTCCCATTTTCTTTTACCTCTTTAACTAGCTTGTATTGTTGGCTTTTTTGGGTGTTAATTTGATAACAGTTAGCTAACATTACTTCCTATATTAATGACAGTATATATATTTGTGTGTATGTATATTTTGATTTTTTTTGTCTGTTTCTTGGGTTGGTTGGTTGTGAAGATGTATAGTTGGATCGATCATGAAACTCCACTTATGAGAGTAGCCTGAATTCTTAAATGGGTTCTATATTCCAAGAATTCTTAAGGACGTCATTTGAAGATAAATAATTGTGAAGGCATAAGAAGCAAAATTATGTATTCAGTGATTTTAAAGTGTTTTACTAACTTAAATAGTTTGCTTTAAAAACAAGGATGAATAAACGTAAACAGTTAATGTGGCGCAGTGGTAAAGCACACACCAGACGCTCTGCGAGCGCATTATCCTGGGTTCGTATCCTGGCCGGGGAGGATTCACTGGGTGCCAATCCTTAACTGTACTCTCTGTTTATCCAGCAGTGAATTGGTACTTAGTTGTTAAACGATTTAACAGGATTTTTTCCAGGGAAAATTCAGTTTAAGACTTGCCCGAGACGCTATGCGTGCTAGTGTCTGTACAAGAATGATTGTATGTGGGATACCTTCAAGAGACTCCTGCATAATGCTTTATCATACACTAACTAACCTTACTCTAAACAGCTACTGCACGATGCTTTATCATACACTACATAACCTTACTTTACACAGCTACTGCACGATGCTTTATCATACACTACATAACCTTGTATTACACAGCTACTGCATGATATTTTGTCATTCACTACGTAACCTTGCACTAACAGCTACTCAGTATTATTACTGAATGTCAATGTTGTTACATTACCAACGAAAAGTTCCTCGTTGCATCCGTCGACCGCGTAGTTGAGGAGAGGCATGTGAGCTGTGAACTGCCGCAGCCTCAGGTGCAGCACTAGCGTCACCTGCCCGGAACAAGTGATGATTCAGGGTATTTTACGGGTATTACTGAAGATTCTCAACTTAAAGATAACACTTATTGACTACTGTGAAGCTTAAGAATATATTTGATGATCATCATGAACTTAAACACGACACTTGATGATTGTGACGCTAAAGATGTCACTTAATGATGTCTGTGAACTTACAGATGATAATAAAATACACTGTCTCAGTGAATCAGCCGCCGCAACCACCTTACTCTGCAACCCGTTCTCGCACTTTCTTTAAGTCAATATTGACTTATTAAATAAGTGCATATGTGACATACTAATTTATTGCGAATATTTTAGTTTACCTTGAAAAGCTTCATAGAAAACATCGACCTTACCTAACCTTCTTACTATGTTAAGATAAGCATCTTATTGCTTCGTAATTACAATTATTACTGAACCTATTATAGGTATAGGTTAAGTAATAATTGTAATTACGTAATATATAAAAATAAAAAGTAATATTCGTAGTTACGTAATATAAAAAAAATACTTAACCTATACCTATTATAGGTATAGGTTAAGTAATTATTGTAATTACGAAGCAATAAGTTGCTTATCTTAACATACTAAGAAGGATAGGTAAGGTTGGTGTATTCTATGAAGCTTTTCAAGGTAAAATAAAATATTCACAATAAATTAGTATGTCACATATGCACGTATTTAATAAGTCAATATTGACTATAAGAAAGTGCGAGAACGGGTTGTACTCCGGCCAATCATCGACCCAGGCTACGCCATGGGAGTTGCCAGCTACTTACACGTTACACAGTACTGTATATGCTTTAACATTTCTTGCTGACAAAACTGCTGGTTTCAGCTACCAAGAATGTGTGTGAGGAATTTTAATGTACTCTTCGCTGCAAACGGCCTCCCGACCTTAACTGTACTGGAGGAAGTCTTTCCATCCCTTCTCATAGAACTTCAGCATCTCATATCTATGTGAGCTCTGTGAGAGAAAATTAAATCTGATCTCATGCCATGACTAGTGTCATTGGGAGGTTGGATTTATTGGGAAAATAGTCCCGACTTTAAACCTATTTTAACGATCTGCCGTGGTATAGAGGTGTAGTAATGGTTATGTCAAGGTGCGCAAACATCTGGCTTTCCAATGTTCGAGCACTTCACAATAGAGTGAACTCTTTGTGGCACACACACACACACACACACATACAAACATATATATATATATATATATATATATATATATATATATATATATATATATATATATATATATATATATATATATATATATATATATATATATATATATATATGTGTATTAGTATATTTTGGTAGCAGTCTTTCCTGTAGACATATATTATTAAATATGACCTAAAAAGTAAGATTAATAATTCTAACACGATTTTTCTCAATATTTCTTATGGTTCTTTTCACTGTCAATGGTAATTGAAAAATCAGTTCTCCAAAATTCATTTTTATTTCTAGTCTGACGCGACACTTTAACGCGTTTCGTAATAACTTATTATATTTTCGAAGACTTTAGTTTACACACTCACAACTATAACCTGCAAACACTAAAACAGATTTCTTACTATGCTATAAATCAAATGGCTTTTCATTTTATATACCTGCATTTGGGTGAGGTGATATGTTACAACAGTTTTGGATGAGGTGAAAACAAACTTTCAACACAAGATAGAACACGAAATATTGGGTAAAGTTAAATGGAAGAATGGAAGTAAATGTAAAGGGCCTATTGGCCCATATTTCTTGATGCTTCTATATTGGTGTGGAGTCTTGAAGTGGGTAGAATATAGTTGTGCATTAATTGGCTGTTGATTGCTGGTGTTTACTTCTTAATGTGTAGTGCCTCGCAGATATCAAGCCGCCTGCTATCGCTGTATCTATCGATGATTTCCGTGTTTTTTGTTAAGACTTCTCTGGTGATGGTTTGGTTGTGGGAAGAGATTATATGTTCCTTAATGGAGCCCTGTTGCTTATGCATCGTTAATCGCCTGGAAAGAGATGTTGTTGTCTTGCCTATATACTGAGTTCTTTGAGGCTTACAGTCCCCAAGTGGGCATTTGAAGGCATAGACGACATTGGTCTCTTTCAAAGCGTTCTGCTTTGTGTCTGGAGAGTTTCTCATGAGTAGGTTGGCAGTTTTCTTGGTTATATAGTAAATCGTCAATTGTATCTTCTGATTTTTGTCTGTAGGGATAACGTTTCTATTAACAATATCTTTCAGGACCCTTTCCTCCGTTTTATGAGCTGTGGAAAAGAAGTTCATGTAAAATAGTCTAATAGGGGGTACAGATGTTGTGTTAGTTGTCTCTTCAGAGGTTGCATTGCGTTTCACCTTCCTTCTTATAATGTCTTCAACGAAACCATTGGAGAAGCCGTTGTTGACTAGGACCTGCCTTACCCTACAGAGTTCTTCATCGACTTGCATCCATCCTGAGCTGTGGCTGAGAACACGGTCGACATAAGCGTTAACAACACTCCTCTTGTACCTGTCTGGGCAGTCACTGTTGGCATTGAGGCACATTCCTATGTTTGTTTCCTTAGTGTAGACTGCAGTGTGGAAACTTCCGTTCCTTTCCATAACTGTTATATCTAGAAAGGGCAGCTTCCCATCCTTCTCCATCTCGTAAGTGAAACGCAACACAGAATTCCGCTCAAATGCCTCCTTCAGCTCCTGGAGATGTCTGACATCAGGTACCTGTGTAAAAATGTCGTCAACATATCTGCAGTATATGGCCGGTTTCAAGTTCATGTCGACTAAGACCTTTTGTTCGATGGTACCCATGTAGAAGATCGCAAACAGGACACCTAGGGGAAAACCCATGGCGACCCCATCTATGTGCCCATCCGGGCTCAAGAAGGGTGCCTCTTTAGTACAAGCTTGGAGTAGTTTTCTTAGAATGTTTTCTGGTATGTCAAGAGGAGTACAGGCCGGATCACGATACACTCTGTCCGCTATCATCCCGATTATTTCATCCACAGGTACGGTGGTAAACAGTGATTCTGCATCCAACGAGGCTCTTATCCCTGTGGCCCGTGTTCCCCACAGCAAGTCAACAAATTCCTTTGGTGACTTCAGGCTGAAGGCGCAAGGGACATAAGGAGTCAGCAAGCCGTTGAGTCGCTTCGCCAGTCTGTACGTAGGTGTAGGTATCTGGCTGATGATTGGCCGAAGTGGGTTTCTAGCTTGTGTGTCTTGACATTTCCATATGCGTATCCAGGTTTGTATTCCACAATAATCTTTGGCAAGTGGAGTCCGGATTTCTTGGCGTTCACAGTTTCGATCAATTTGTTGACCTTTGCTTTCAATTCGGCTGTAGTGTCCTTTGTTACCCTTTGGAATTTAGTTTGATCAGAGAGTATGTGGTTCATTTTCGCCAGATATTCGTCTTTTTTAAGAATGACGTATATTGGCGACTTGTCACCTCTCCTGACAACTATCTTCTTGTTCTCACGAAGGCTCTTAGCTGCCGCTTTGAGCTTAGGGGACAGTATTGTGCTTCTGTAGTTGCCTCGATTCTTTCCTCCTTCTGTGATAAATTCTGCTTGTAAGGTGTCCTTGGTGGTGACCTTCTTTTGTGTCTCGAGGTCGAATATGTCGTCCAACAGGATTTCCAACTCCACTTTCCGGGCCATCTCACTTGGTCTGGACATAACGTGACAAATTATACCCAGATTTAGGAGAGTGACTTGGTCCTCAGTGAGGTTGATTCCTGCAAGGTTCTGGAAGCCGTCTCTCGGTCGTGGAATTGCCATAGGTCTTCCATATAATGTTGTTAGTTTCTTGATTATCCTGGTTTCGGTGCTGAGGTGATGTCGATCTCTGAGGATGTCGAGGTGTTGCTCGATTCGAGTATGGAGACTTCACTTCAAGACTCCGCACCAATATAGAAGCATTAAGAAATATGGGCCAATAGGCCCTATGCATTTACTTCCATTCTTCCCCTTTAACTTTACCCAATATTACCCAATATTTCGTGTTCTATCTTGTGTTGAAAGTTTGTTTTCACCTCATCCAAAACTGTTATAACATATCACCTCACCCAAATGCAGGTATATAAAATGAAAAGCCATTTGAATTATAGCATAGTAAGAAATCTGTTTTAGTGTTTGCAGGTTATAGTTGTGTGTGTGTAAACTAAAGTCTTTAAATATGTAATAAGTTATTATGAAACGCGTTCAAGTGTCGCGTCAGACTAGAAATAAAAATGAATTTTGGAGAACTGATTTTTTAATTACCATCGACAGTGAAAAGAACCATAAGAAAATATTGAGAAAAATATATATATATATATATATATATATATATATATATATATATATATATATATATATATATATATATATATATATATATATATATATATATATATATATATATATATATATATATATATATATATATATATATATATATATATATATATATATATATATATATATATATACATATATATATATATACACATATATATTGTGACGATAATCTCTTTCAAGAGAGATTGAGCCTGCTCTTCCCTACATAAGTACATCAATATACAAGATAATATACAAGATACGTCCACCAAGTATCGCCAAACGTTTTGTCCAGAGAGCAAAACGTACCCAGCACACCTGCTACCACCGCCGTAACCAGCAAACTGCTCATCCTCTGCCTGCCTGTCGCTGATTGGCTGGTGACTCGTCGCCCCTGCCCTCCGCCGCCACCACAAGTCGACGTCTGGGCTGCAGTGCGGCAGTATCGTCAGAATATCTCAGTGCTCCTTGCAGTTGACATCTCTCGCTAGTAGACTAAGCCTTGGCTTTCGTGTACTAAGGGAGGTGGCAGCTCAAAGACAGTATTCCAGCACCACTTATATTTTATTTTGCTATCACTGTAACTTACTTGTCTTAACGTAACTTTTCATTTGCCAGTGATTATTCATAATATTTTGTTTGTTGACTTGTCTTGCATATTTTGTGTGATTAACTTTATTCATGTC